TAGTGGGGCTGGGGGCCATGGGGAGGGGAGAGGGTTAAGGGGGGGGTAAAACAGAGACTGGGGATGGGGCTGCGCCGCTAGCAGAGGCGTGCTCACGCTATCTTGGCGGCTTGTGGAGGCATGCGACGATGTGTCACCTGGAGGGTCTGCTGGCTGACGCTCAGAGGATCGGGAGACGTTTGCTGCTGGATCAGGTGCGCGGCCCAGGCTTGCCGAAGGCCTTCTGCTACGGCCAGATGGTCGGAGGCTCGTCCTTGGTGGCGTGGTAGTTGGATCGGGCCGTGAATTAGGAGCACTGCGGCCCCGGTTTGTTTTGTCCTTAGACGGAGGAGTGGAGATTGGAAGTGGCGCCCCCGCCTGGAGCGAAGCGTAGAGGGCTTGTAGCTCCGCCTTGTTCAGACGGTGAGGATCGAGAATGCCGGCGTTTGAGAGCGCTTGGCGTAACTTTGGCACGGTCCATTTCTCCATAGCTGGAGCGGAGGAGAAAGCCGAGGCATAGGAGGATGCTGGAGAAGGTGGCTGACGCCTGGAAGGTGAGGGTGAAGGAGAATCTCGGCATCTGGAGGTATGAGTGGCGGCGATGCGGGAAGGCCTGCGGCCCCGAGGTGCAGCCACGGGCTCAGTTGAGGTGTCCTGCGGAGCGCTGGCTCGCTGAACGTCGGCTGTAGACGTGGGAGGAGCTGTGCTGTCGAAGGTGTTTTCCTCGGGGAACAATTCGATCTCAGACATAATGCGGCGATTGGATGCACCAATGCTGAAAGACGAGAGATGACGAAGGTAGGATGTACTTGGTTATTTATAGGAGTTTTCTTTTGTGCTGATTGGATAAATGGTGTAATCACTAATGATGAACTGGCCGTGTTAATTATCTGTGCGTGCTCCTCCCGAAATTTGTTTATAAACATCACATAATGAAACTTTAGACTACACACATACAAAAATGTGAATTAGCTGCAGATGCTGATATTTATATGATGAAATTCTGATGCTTGTAATGTAAATCAGAGAGATCTTTCTAACAGTAGAGCAGATACTGACATAAAATGATCTAAATATCAGTTGTCGCTCTATATCTCTAATAATATGTCTTAGTAAGATGAGATTGAAATGATCCAAACATAATGGAATGCAATCCAGTGATGATTGAGAGATGAAGAAATAAACTCTCCTCAGAAGTCAAGTCACCTTTATATAGTGCTTTTAACAATGCATAACAAAGCAGCTCTACAGTATTAATTAGGAAAATAGTGTGTCAATAATGCAAAAGGACAATAGTAAACACTCAATTTTCAGTTAAAGGCAGTTCATCATTGAATTCAGTGATGTCATCATCCAGCTCAGTTCAGTTTAAATAGTATCTGTGCAATCAAGTTGACGATATCCCTGGATATTAAGTGTCCCCAACTAGGCAAGCCAGAGGAACCAAAACTCCATCGGTGACAGAATGGAGAAAAAACCTTCGGAGAAACCAGGCTCAGTCGGGGGGCCAGTTCTCCTCTGACCAGACGAAACCAGCAGTTCAATTTCAGGCTGCAGCAAAGTCAGATTGTGCAGAGGACTCATCTGGTTCCTGTGGTCTTGTCCCGGTGGTCGTCTGAGACAAGGTCTTTACAGGGGATCTGTATCTGGGGCTCATCTAGTTGTCCTGGTCTCCGCTGAAAGCTGAGCTGCTTCAGTCCAGTAAGTGTTCATCTGGAGATATTACTGCAGTTATTCTGACGCTTACTTGATAAAAATCAGTCAAGATTTGACACGAGAAGCTCCAGCTGAAGGAGGACGTTTGTACAATTACACTAAAAGAGCTTTGACTGGATAAAACACTCTAAACTATCAACCAGAGACAGAATGCATGGAGGAGATTGATCATGTTGATCATTTAGAGACCTTAGAAATTCACTTATCAAATATGATAATAGCTTTACATGGTTACAGTGTGTTGCCTGATAAAGTGATTTTCTTCACTGCTGGAGGTTGAGGGATGCTTTGAGCTTTAAAGGGGTCATATGATGCTTTTTTAAAGATCATTATTTTGTGTATTTGGTGTAACAGAATATGTTGACATGCTTTAATGTTCAAA